CATTAAAATCTTTTCGTCTATTAAAGGTCTATAAAATTGTCTCTTGAGATTTTATCCTAGAAAGCACCATTTCGTGGAAAATTGCATTTGTGCATAATTACCACAAATTTAAGGTTTGTGTAGGAAATGGTGCTTTCTAGGATAAAATCTCAAGAGACAATTTTTATAGACCTTTAATAGACGAAAAGATTTTAATGAGTAAAATTTTTTGAGATATGCGATTTTTGCGGAGTAAATGGCAAAAACCTTAAAAATTGGGGATTTTGTCAAAATTCAACCCCTCACAGGCACGTGAAGGGGTTGAGTTGGCCATTCAAATTTTTGTGTAATTTTTTTTTCTCTTGTGTTATAACAAAATGGGGGGGGTGGGACAATTCAATATTAAAAGTATATCTTTTACCTCTATAGCTAAGGACCACCCTAATGTACATAGATACTAGGGGTGTCAATCCCGAGCCCATTTTCCAATCCCGGGCCTTTCGGGACCAAAGGTAACTAATCCCGGGATCCCGGGATCAGTCCCGAAAAAATATATATCATTAATTTTAAAACCAATTTAAAATAAAACAACAAACAAACTAACGAACGATATCTTTCGAACTTCACACTAGTCGGAAGAAGGTTTTCAAGAATTCGTAGGCACATTGTACCCACGTTTACCCCCATTAACAAATAATTCCATTTCTTTTATCAATCGGGCCTTGGTAAGTTCCAATTGGGGCTGTAACTTACATTGAAATTATCAAGTTTGTGCCATTTTTTCAGGTTTGACGTTTGAAATATGTTATAATAGGTTATGTACATAAATTTATTCTACAGTGACCTGTAATTTTACATTTTCTTTGCTGATTTTATGCTATAGATGGAACCACTCTTGCTATGTAATTTCAACGTATTTTCATTATTGTACGGCGGTGTATAATAACTTGACTTGAACTGAGTAAAAAAATAAAGTGTTTATATATATGCTTATGAGTATATGAAAAATGTCATACGCTTAAAAAAGTCTATTTTATTCTTTGTAACTTATTACTAAGATCCCGGGATTTGGACTTTTAATCCCGGTATTTTTGGGATCGGATTTTTAACGGGATCCCGGGACCCCGGGATTTCGGTATCCCGGGATTGACACCCCTAATAGATACCAACCAACAAAGAAGCTGCGCGTTACCAGTTGTTACTAAAAATTTTTTTGCAAAAAATAAATAAAAACTCAATAAATGTATGCCCTTAAAGCTCTAATACCCTTTTGTATTTATTTACTTATCCAGCTATTAGCTTAAGCAATGGTTCCAGTGGCGTAACTACCACCGGTCCTACTGGTTTTAGAGACCGGGGCCCCGAGCACCAGGGGGGCCCTAGAAGTGGCAAGATACATTTTTTTATCTAAATATAAGAAAAATGTTCAATATGAAAAAATAACATTTTGTTTTTTTGTAGGTGTAAATATTCGTTGCCTTCTTGATATTATATTTCTATTGTGGTTTTTTTCTTAAAATTTCTGAAGTTGGAATTTAATATTTTGAAATAAATAAAGGTTAATTGAAATTTAAAATTACAAATCTAGAATCATAAACTCGAAATCGATTTATTCGATTATTCGAATACTTCACATCGAAATAGGAAATATACATTCTTAGTCAAAAATAGAAATTCAGAGATGAAAAAATAAAAATGAAAAATTTGCTATCTAAAATAAGAAATTTTCGATTTCACATTTACAATTTTGAATAAAAAAATCAAGAATCAAACTCTCAAATTCGAAATGCTACTTATAATATAGCATAAATTAGTAGCAGTGGCGGATGGTGGATTTTAAGTATACCAATATCTCAGTTATTAGACATGGGACCCACACCAAATTTATAATAGTTTATATTGACATTAAATAAACAAGTTCGGCGCAAACAGAATTTAAATTGAAGTTTGCGAAAAAAAGTTAGTTTTTCCTGTCGCCTACCCTGCCTCCAGGCCCCCCTATTTGAGATAATTCAAATTAAAGTGGTGCAATTTATTATCTACTATAATTTATCGACAAATTTAAAATTTTATTCAAAAAATCCAAATATTACAGATTTTATTCGATTTTAAATTTTTATTATTTATTTTATTAAAATAAAAAAATATTTAAAATGGTATAAAAACTGTAATATTTGGATTTTTTAAATAAAATTTTAAATTTGTCGATAAATTATAGTAGATAATAAATTGCACCACTTTAATTTGAATTATCTCAAATAGGGGGGCCTGGAGGCAGGGTAGGCGACAGGAAAAACTAACTTTTTTTCGCACTTCAATTTAAATTCTGTTTGCGCCGAACTTGTTTATTTAATGTCAATATAAACTATTATAAATTTGGTGTGGGTCCCATGTCTAATAACTGAGATATTGGTATACTTAAAATCCACCAGCCGCCACTGATTAGTAGTACTATAAATTAATATATTAATATAGCATATATATATATAATTATAAAGTTATAAAGTGCTCTTTTAGTTCCACCCTTACATCCAAACTAAGATGTCCCATAAGCCAACTGAATGGCTTGTGCGGGTTAGGGGTAGGAACGGACCGACGGCTTAAAGTCCCCTCCGAAGGACTATACACAATGGACAAACACAAATAAACAACCATACCCAAGTGGGATTCGAACCCACGACCTCTCGGCTCGTACCCAGGAGCTCTGACCACTACACCACCGAGGTATATATATATATATATATATATATATATGTACATATGTTTGCAATGAGACAGTTTGAAATATTGGAATAAAAATATTCTTTGAAACGTAGATCTGATTTGAGTATTATACCATAAAAATAAAATGTTTTACGTAAATACCACTTCATCATTTGTATCCGTATACGGGATGTATTTATTATTCAAGGCATACCTTGAATAATAAATACATCCCTTCGAAATCCTTAGCAATGAATATTCATGTGTAAGGCGTAAATGATTAAAAAAAAATTACTTACCATGGTAAGGGCCCCCTAGTGAAATTCCGACTGTGGCCTCCATTTCTATAGTTACGCCACTGACAAGTTCACAGGTTAAACTTTAAACAATCAATTTGTGTAAATAAATCCAAAAACACTTTCCTTTTTTAAGATATTTACAATTTGAGGACATAACTTTAAATTTGAAAGAAATGCACTAGATCCTGTCATAAAAGTTTTCGGATTTTGTTTGTATTTACCTTCATTACAAAAATGACATAGATAATAAACAATTAATAAAAACGCCAATTAATTTGCATTGTTGATTTTGTCATTTTTGGAATTAAGCAAAATTTAAACAAAATTTGGCAACTTTTTTGACAGAATCTGGAAACGCCGGTTGTTACCAACCATAACATAATAAATTAGTCAACCAGATTAGCCTGGTCGATCAGTGGCGTACTTTTTTGTAGGATAAATTTAGAAAGAAAAAGTTGCAGGTGCTTTTTTAGGGACCCTAAGGAACTACCCATATTAATATATTACATTAATTACATAACACCCTGTATAATATCTTTAAACATATTAAAATAGTCGTATTTAAGTCTACTGTTACAATGCGTTATAATTTGACGCAAGTCGGGATTGAACTTAAGTCCTTGGGACTGTAAAAACAGCGATAGTACATAAAATATTTGTTTGATTATTACGTCTTCTATAAATAAAGTATATACAGTGAGTCCCACTGCAAACTGCCAAAGGCAAAAAACATAATGGACATCATAGGCGTGCGCAGGCTTTTTCATAAGGGGGGCCATTGATTCAATTAAATATAATATAATACAGGGATGGCAGGCAATATTGGTTCTTTTTCTATAACGCAGCCCGCTGCAGGCTCACCGCCGAAAGAAATTTTTTTTGGTGCTTCAAAGAATTAGGTTGGGCCACGGCCCACGCGACCCCACCGTGCCACGCCTATGAGGGACATGTCAATAAGCAAAATTGTTGGAACCGGAGTGATAAAAATCCTTACATTTTTTTAGAGAAGTATATTCAGCCCCCTCAAAAATTAAATTTTAGGATTTTTGGGAAATAAAATTGTTGGCCCAATTTTTATTGAAGGAAATCTCACTGGAGATAACTACTTAAATTTACTAGATACTATTAATGTATTTATTACACAAGATCATAGAGATAGGGATAAAAACCTTATACTTAGTGAGGAGAACATTCACTTCCAACAAGACGGGGCACCACCGCACTATGCATTGCCAATCAGAAATTGGCGTAACTGTTTTTTCGGGCAAATGGATTGGCCGATGATGCGTTGTTTATGAAAATATGGAAAACATAATTTGTTTGTAGAATTATTTAGACAATAAAAAGATCTTTCAAACAAGGTATCACATGACCTATAGGGCCATTGAAGATTTTGAGGTTAGTGCCTCTCGATGCCTCGAAACGGTGTTTTTATATTTTATTTATCGATAATCATTTCAAAGATATATTGACAGTTTTCGGTAAGACACACTGTATATATTTTTTATGGTTAAAATTAATTGAAGAATTTTTGAACTATAGTTATATATATATACGATATTTCTCGGTGTTTTATATATTGCGTATTATTTCACATGTTCCAAAAAGTCGTTGGTCAAATTTTGGGAATGATTAAATAAAGGCTTTCAAAATCAACATAATAAACAAAACCAAATAAATAAAGATAATTATTATCAATAATCAATAATATTATTACTTTATCGCGGTGAATAAAAATACTATAGTATTTTTTATAAAGATACTACAATCAGGGCCGTAGCGACGGACTCAGGGGACCCGGTACAAAACTTTAGGATAGGATAGGATATCGAAAATTACGATTTTTTAGTAAAATTTTTAGTTTTGGGGGCCCCTTTGAGGTCGGGGGGCCCTGGTGCACCGCACCGCCTGCACCAGCCTCGCTACGGCCCTGACTACAATATTTGCTTTTGCTAGCACATCAGTTATATTAAATTATCTCGAACGCCTCCTATCAGTTAATGCAAAAATTATCTAATTATTTATAAGCATAAACTATAAACATCAATATTCTAGGCATTTCCTTGTGTAAAATGATACGAGTACGTTCAATATTATTGTGTTTATTATTACAAATTGCCTTGGGACAATCCGCAAAAGTTTTGTTGGTGTTTCCAGTTCCTTCTTCAAGTCATCATATTCTAGGTACGAGTTTGGCGAAAGGATTGGCCAATGCTGGACATGACGTCACATTGGTATCCCCCTATGTGGACAAGAATAAACAAATTGAAAATAAAAATGGGAAATATAATCAAATAGTTGTTAAGGAGATTGACAAACAATATAAACGTAAGAATATTACCTTGCATTATCTATTCTATAACAATATACTATTAATTTTATGTTACGTATATAATAATTTAAATACTGTTTTAGATGATAATGTTGACATGTTTGGCCTTGAATCATCATTTATGTCTATGCTAACCCTAATGACGAAAATGTTGGAAAACATATCAAACAACATTCTAAAAAATTCAGAACTCAAAAAACTGCACGAAGAAGGACAAACGTTTGATGTTGTAGTCATAGAAGAATTCCTTTGTGATAGTCTGAAGGTATTGCATTACAATTTTAAAGCTTCTTTGATAGCATTTAGCTCTATTGGCCCAAACTCTATGGTGAATGATTTGGTTGGAAATCCAAGTCCACTATCCTACATTCCTGAGATGTCATCTGGGCTTCCTACTAAAATGAATTTCATTCATCGTGTTAAAAATGTACTTCGTTTCCTAATGGGTAAAGCTTTTAACTACTTTTACATAAGTAAATATCAGACTGCGTACTTGAAAGAACATTACCCTGACTCTCCCTCTATAGATGAGTTAAAGTATAACGTTTCTTTGATACTTATGAATTCCCAAGTGAGTACTTTTCAACCTGCACCTACAGTACCAAGCATGATATCCATAGGTGGATACCACGTACAACCACCTAAACCCCTACCTAAAGACCTTAAAAAGTATTTGGATGAAGCCAAAGATGGCGTTATTTACTTTAGCATGGGTTCAGTTTTAAAAGGCAGCAACTTACCTAAAGAAAAAATTAACATCATCATAGGCGCTTTCAAGCAATTAAAACAAAAAGTCCTGTGGAAATGGGAGGATGATAAACTTGCAGGCAAACCTGACAACGTAAAAATAGAAAAGTGGCTGCCACAACAAGACATTCTAGCGCACCCCAATGTAAAACTGTTCATTTCGCATGGAGGTCTTTTGAGCACCACAGAAGTTATCTACCATGGTAAACCTGTTCTGGCGATACCGATTTTTGGTGATCAATTTTTAAACGCGCAGCAAATGGAGGATCATGGCTTCGCTTTGGTACACAAGCTCTCTGAACTTACTGATACTGAAGAGTTTTTGGCCAAAATCAAGGAACTTCTATATATTCCAAAGTAAGTAAATACACGACAAAAATATTCCTAAATGTAAATAATATTTATTTAATTGTAGGTATTATCAAAATGCACAGTATAGGTCAAAAATAATGCACGACCAACCGATGAAGCCTATGGACGTTGCAGCATTTTGGGTGGACCATGTAGCTAGACATAAAGGTGCCCCACACTTGCGTGTGGGAGCTTTAGATTTACCATGGTATCAGCTGCATCTTATTGATGTTATAGCATTCTTAATCATTGTACCTATTGTAGTATTATTAGTATTATCATTGATACTATGCAAATTGTATTCCTGTTTGTGTAAGACAAATGAGAGTGATAAGTCTAAAGTTAAGAAGAATTGATTTGTACTTAAATAATTTTATTTCATTTTTGTAGACTTTTAAAAAAGTAAATAAATAATAAAGTTGGCAACACCTGCAAAGATTGCCAACACAAACTTTTCTTTAAAAATGTGTTTATTATGCCCGTTTCATATAAAGATGCGAGATGCGAATTGCATATTTGCATTTATTTAATTGTAGGTATTATCAAAATGCACAGTATAGGTCAAAAATAATGCACGACCAACCGATGAAGCCTATGGACGTTGCAGCATTTTGGGTGGACCATGTAGCCAGACATAAAGGTGCCCCACACTTGCGTGTGGGAGCTTTAGATTTACCATGGTATCAGCTGCATCTTATTGATGTTATAGCATTCTTAATCATTGTACCTATTGTAGTATTATTAGTATTATCATTGATACTATGCAAATTGTCTTCCTGTTTGTGTAAGACAAATAAGAGTGATAAGTCTAAAGTTAAGAAGAATTGATTTGTACTTAAATAATTTTATTTAATTTTTGTACACTTTTAAAAAAGTAAATAAATAATAAAGTTGGCAACACCTGCAAAGATTGCCAACACAAACTTTTCTTTAAAAATGTGTTTATTAAGCCCGTTTCATATAAAGATGCGAGATGCGAATTGCATATTTGCATTTATTTAATTGTAGGTATTATCAAAATGCACAGTATAGGTCAAAAATAATGCACGACCAACCGATGAAGCCTATGGACGTTGCAGCATTTTGGGTGGACCATGTAGCCAGACATAAAGGTGCCCCACACTTGCGTGTGGGAGCTTTAGATTTACCATGGTATCAGCTGGATCTTATTGATGTTATAGCATTCTTAATCATTGTACCTATTGTAGTATTATTAGTATTATCATTGATACTATGCAAATTGTCTTCCTGTTTGTGTAAGACAAATAAGAGTGATAAGTCTAAAGTTAAGAAGAATTGATTTGTACTTAAATAATTTTATTTCATTTTTGTAGACTTTTAAAAAAGTAAATAAATAATAAAGTTGGCAACACCTGCAAAGATTGCCAACACAAACTTTTCTTTAAAAATGTGTTTATTATTAATAATGTGTTTATTAAATTTTATTATTTATTATTTATTTTATTTTATTATTTATTATTTATTATTTATTATTTATTATTTATTATTTATTATTTATTATTTATTATTTAATATTTATTATTTTATTATTTATTATTTATTTATTAAATGTGTTTATTATTAATAATATTATTATTAATAAATTATTAAGCCCGTTTCATATAAAGATGCGAGATGCGAATTGCAAAATACGAAAAATGCTCTCTTTCGTCCATTTGATTTAGCGGGAAAATCGTTTCGACAGATCCTGCGAACTCGCAAGATTTGAATCTAGGGGCTGGAATCCAATATTTTGCGAAAATCACACTAATTTGGCGTGATGCGCATGCGTTTTACATGCACATTAATGCAATTGCTTATTATATCTACGCTATTTATGTTTATTTCGTTTAAAACACTACGATACAATTGTATCGTAGTGTTTTCTTTGTTAAGTTTAATTTATAATGTTTAAGTAAGTGTTTGAAGATTTTTTGTTTTTTTTTATAACGGAAATGCGAAGATTCGTATTTCGCAATCCGCATTTCGCATCTATATGATACCGACTTAACTTAAAGATATGGATTGGATTGGATTAAAGATATAGATTGTTTTTAAAAAATATATAATTATTAATACATTAAAAATAGCTAAAACAAGTTTGCAGATTTAGTTTATTATTTCGAGAAAATTATCATTGAATTTGTTAAAATACAGATATTTTTTATAATAATACTATCAAATAAATTTTAATATGTATTGACAAAATCTATTTTTTTGTCCTAAACTATACTTTTAAAAAAGAAAGAGAACTTTAATTTCTAAATGTTAACTTTTACTACTCGCCAAAAGATGTCTCTGACTGAGAAATTAATTTTTAATAATAAGTGTTGTTCCAGTAGCGCCAGTTTTATTATACCTATACAATTTTTGTGACGAATAAGCATAAATATTGGTGAAGTAAATACAGATATATCTCTTGTAAAATACAGGTAAAAAATTTGTTTCATCACTGGCTTATTATAGGTAATATATACCTATATATATATATATACATCCCTAATACAATATTGCGTCATTACAATTCGCGACCTTATTGCGTCTACTAGAAATACGGTATTTAGCGAAAATATAGAAGAGTATATTGGCGTACTTTTTTTTGCTGATTCCAAAAATCTGGTCAGATTTTTTTTATCTTAAAAAATAAGATATACACTTTTTTTTCAAAAGTCACTACATTATCAACTCATTTTAATCTTGATATAATATTGCGTCACGTGTATAATTTCATTTTAAATTTTATATGGCTTGTACAGACTTTATTGCGTCCTACAGTGTTGCCAAATTGTAATGACGCAATATTGTACTAAGGATGTATATTTATGTATATGTATATATATATATATATATCCGTAATACAATATTGCGTCATTTCGCGACCTTATTGCGTCTCCTAGAAATACGGTATTTAGCGAGTCAACTTTAATAAGATATAAATGAATTTTTAACATGTGATTTTTCTTCTATGTAATTTTTAATATTGATATTTTGCATGTTTATAAAATAATGTCTGTATTAGAAATGTGAGGTTTAAAAAGTTTTAATTAATTTTATATTAAATTTTAAATATCCCTATTATTTTTTAAACCTTCAAGGTTTTAGTTTCTATTTTTTTCTTGCTATACATTTTAACATAAATAATTACCATTAATATTATAGTAATTCTTTTTAAAGGGTATATTTTTTAAGGCTATATTTATTCGTATTATTAATGAAAAATAGCATACTTACTTTACTAAGAGAAATAGTAAAGAAAAGTGTACGTTTTCTGGTTAGCAAAACTTCTTTACCCAGCAACACTTTTATTAAGCACATTTGAAAAATCGTAAAGAAAAGTATTATATTAATCAATGCTTTTTCATGACACTAGCAGCATAAATTCGACTTTTGCTTAACATAAGTTCTTTAATAATTAATATTATTAATTAAGCCAATTATTGTCTTTAGTTTGGTATATTTTTGTTTATGAATTAACTTAAATATTAACAATTTTTCTCTCTTAAAGGGCAGCGAAAGTCGAATTTTCATTTTGTCATAAAAAATATGGTACATATTTCGTGGTGAAAGGCGGCCATTTCTAAATAGTGTATTCTACATTCGCCTCGCTCGTGCAGCAAAGCTCACGATTGGTCATAGAAAACCGCATAATAGTTTTCTAAGTGTAACTCGAGTCCGGCAAATTTCGATACATTTTCTGATTTATACGACAAGATCTCATCTGAAAACTCCTCCAAATCATCGGAGTCGTCGAGTTCCATCACGATAGAGTCGGAGGAGGATACAGTGCTTGTGATACTAGCTACTAGCTTGATCCATGCATAGCTTCTGTTTATAGTCAAGGTCGACTTGGAATTTTTGCAAGGTGTTTTCTTCGGTGTTTTCCTTGTACTGCCTATAAATCTTTTTAATCGGCCAGTACTTACTCTACCGTCGGACTGATCTAAAAGCCAGCAGTACGATAATTTTTTAATAATTGAATATATAATATTATATACTTGTTAGAGTAATCCCCTTTTTACCAAAGTAGGACAGTAGAGCAATAAAGGCACGTGTGCCTACTAAGCAAAACAATCTGGGCACAGCTTAGAAATCGAATGGTAACGCAGAGTCCGCAGAACATTTGTAGAAGTCGAATCATAGCAGTTTAATAAATGTAGTTAAAAAGTAATAAATAATAAGTGAAGCCCCATCAAATTAGTTTTATTCAGGGTAAAATACCCTGATGTTTTACATCAGAAGTGGGATAGTGATTTCCATGTACAATAATTAGTTTAGTTAAGTTAAATTAAGTTAATTTATATTAAACAAAAGCAGACAAAGAGTGAGTGCATCAAGATGGCAGATGAGTTATCTAGAGTTGAAAATGACAATTTATGTGGTGATGATTTAGATGCAGAAGAAATTTCACAACCTCCAACCCCAAAACGCGTCAAAATGTGGCAAGAAACTTTAATAAATTTAGTTGTGACGCAACAGCAACAACTTGCTGAGTTAGCAAATCAAACCAAGATGGCAATGTCCCAAGCATCTCTGGCAAGGACCACACCTAGTTCATCTGACGAAAATGCGCATGCGTCTTCATCAAGACATGTGTACTCTTTTCATGTCACAAGCTACGATCCCGATAAAAGTGCCTATTCAATCAAAGATTGGTTGGATGATGTCACCCAGCTTAAAAGGGAACTAAATGTAAGTGACATTGTAATGATCTCAAAAGCAGGAGATGCACTGAAACGTCGAGCATACAAATACTTTTGTGATTGGAGACCCATTTCCCGAACTTGGGAAAACTTTTGTAATGACCTAACTGTAGCATTTCCTGATCGAGAAACACCAGGAGCACGAGCATATACTGCAGCAACTCTTAGCAGTCGTGATTGCGAATCATTGTGTGATTATGGTAACAAAAAAATACGTGCAATAAAAAAATTTCACGATGAACTGCCATGGGATACCATTCTGGGCATGGTAGAATATAATTTAAATAATGCAGAGGCGCAATCAGCAATTAGAATTCAGAAGCCTAGTACAGAACGCGAACTAATGAAATTGTTGAGTGAATACGATGCACGCCGAATCAGCAGTTCTTCTGGAATAATGGAACACAAGCTTGGAAGACACCGAAAAGATCAACGGGATTCAAAAAGTTTTTGTGCACAAAAAGAAACAAAGGTTTTTAAAGGACCCTGTTTTAAGTGCGGTCAACAAGGACATCAGCAAAGCTCATGCCGTAGTGTGCGTAAAGAAAACTCCCGAAAAGAAGTTGTTTCTGCCAATAAAAGCGAATTGTCAATTGTTCCTACTTGTGCGCATTGTAAAAAAATGGGTCATATGGAAATAAACTGTTGGTATAAAAGTGGAAAACCAAA